TGCTACTTCCTTCAATTCCGGATAGCTAAGTCCAAAAATACAAGGTTGTCAATTGCTCTAGCTAGGTAGAAGAAGGAAAAAAAAAATGGTAGAGTTTCTATATTTCTGTATTTCATATTATAGCAAATCTTATGCAACACGTTTTCGAATGATTATATATACTAAATTGATAAATAAAAATTTGCATATATATATATATATATGGTGTAATATAAAGGAGATGATATATTTCGTTTATTTCATTTATGGATATTACGAAGGATCTTGGCTAAATGACACCCCAACTTTTTTAGTTGCAAAATTGCTGATATCTTTTCCAGCGTACTGGAATTGATGTATACAGTTTTTTTGGCATGGCAACACACTTCTTTTATCACCTAAAGAAACTAATACCTCCAAATTGAGTCCTATCCATCTCAGGTGGTTATATTTTACAATCCCATTTTCCTTTTTTATAAATAGATTCACAACCTCTTTGTTTTCCTTTCGATTCCACTTTAGAGTGTTGTTGGCGTGCAAGTTTCCAATATTTTAATGTAACTAATTAATTATAAATTAGGAATGGCTTCCACGTATTTTATTAAAAATTAAGTAATATCCCATTCGGAGGTAAAAAATTAAGATGATGACCAAGTATCCACTATCCATCACACCAGTTACCTCTCTCAAGTGCAAGCCGACATAGACATATATTATCCAAACTTATTTTTTTTTTTTAAAAAAAAAAAAAGAAAAAGAAAAATGTGCTATGCCTTATTAGTTACTACCATAAAACACAAAAAAGTTTATATTGGAAAAAAATCAACGAATATCAGAATATTCTCCATTGAAATATTGAGGTTAAATAGCTCAAGTTTAATTAGTTTCTATTCCTATGCAATTAGGTCAAATTTGTTGCACATGACGTATCTTGCAGAACTTATTTAAGTAACTTAAGTTGCAGGTACTTTACATCAAAGTAGTGTATATCCCGTGCGATGCACGTAGGAGCTCATATTTTAAGCTTTTTTAGGTTTTATTTTAAATATAATTACTTATATTTTTCACATCTCGTCTATTATGAAAATAAAATAAATACAAACAATGAAAAATATATATTATTAAACACTTCTCTTTATACAATATTTTTTTAAGTAATATTATTAAACCTTACGGTTTTGATTTTATATTTTTTAAAAGTCAATTATCTCCATAAGAATAATCATACCATTTTAATTGCAAAAAAATTGGCAAGTTTGTTAGAGAGATAAATCCAATTAGATAAATAATCAATTAGTTAAGATATTATATTAATTGTATCATAAAAAAATCAATTAGATAATGTAGATAAAAAAATATAATATTAATTAGTTTGTTAGGAATGTGAGTATATGAAAATCAAGATAAAATGAAATTTACCCAAAATTTTGTTTAGGATCTTTTTCTTTATGTTTGAATTTAAAAATTTAATACGGAATTTCGATTATATCACATAAGGAAAAAATAAATAATAAATATTTATTAATATATTAAAACATATAATTTTGAATTTCATTTAAAGTAAAAGGTATAATAATTCAAATTTATTTTCAAAATAAAAGCTATGATAAACATTTGTTTGTTATCTATAAAATTTTTATTTTTTATTATTCTAATGATTTATACATTAAAGTGAACTTAGGTACGGTATGATTTAATTCATTTGGGGTTGTATCATTTGAGGTTGTATCTACCGCATTCCGTCCGCACAAACATGTTATAGAAGGATTAACTCAAAAACTTAATTTGACAAAATAAATTACAAATTTATTTCCTGTTTTAACGGATAGATTATCTCCAAATAAAAAAAAAGGAAGTCAAATATATTGCTAAAATAAAAATCTGTTTTCCAAATGAAAATGATCTTGAATTTATTAGATATGGAAGGAATCTCATTCAAAACATATTGAACTCATCCAAATTACAAAATTTTGGAATGAAAAAAAATTCAAACTTCTGAAAAAATTTCAAACAAAATATTAGGGGGAAAAATGATTTGAGCGGTAAAATGAAATAATTTTTCAAACATTTTTTCTTCTCTCTATTATATAGTAATAGATTCACAAGCACACCCCTATTATTAGTATTTGTGTTTGCAATAAGTTGGTCCAAAAAAAAAAAAAATAGATTTATTTTTTTTTTCCTATATTATTTGTTTGTAATTTTATATAATATACTCACAACATCGAAACTCTTCTATATACTACCTAATTAACGATGAGTCACATAGAATTGATATCCTAAGCTTAGGAACCATAGAAGTGGAACACGCACACACATGAAAATCGTCAAGTGGGTTGTGTGTGTGCTTGCACAAGGTTTTGTTCCCCTTTTTACTCCTTAAAACTGTTGAAAAAACTTTATGTTTTGTTTTGTAATTCGATGTGGAATTTCGTTATCTATTCAGCTATTGTTTTGTTTTATAAATTTTTTGCATATTGTGTAACTAATTAGTTCATAAGAATAATATTTTACGGCGCCACAATGATTGATATTTGCGTACAGTGAGGGACCAGAAATTTGGTTGAACAGGGCCCAATAAATGAAAATAAGTCTAATTATAAATAATTATATATATATTATGGACAATTCTAATTTCAAAATTTTAACAAATCAGTAATCTGGTAAAAAAGATTTTAAAATTTGAGGATTTAAACTAATTTTAAACATAAATATTTTGGTTGAAAAGTCATTCAAAGAAGTCCAAACGTTTCATATGTGCGATTATTAACTATTAAATCATACACGACACGAGAGCCAAATTAATTAATTAAAAAAAGTGGATTTATTTTCACATCAATTCAAATGCAGGACAACGAGAAGAAGAACATTCTAGCAGTCCAAACCCTTCGGAACACGATAATGGGTTCGACCCTTATGGCAACGACCTCAATACTCCTGTGCTCCGGGCTAGCGGCCGTCATAAGCAGCACTTACAGCGTGAAGAAGCCACTGAACGACGCAGCACTGTACGGGGCCCACGGGGAGTTCATGGTGGCCCTCAAGTACGTCTCCATTCTCACAATCTTCCTATTCTCCTTCCTCTGCCACTCTCTCTCCATCCGCTTTACGAATCAGGTGAACTTCCTCATCAACTGCCCACCCGACCCAATCATCGTCTCACCCGATTACGTGTCACACCTTCTCGAGCGCGGCTTTGCCCTAAACACCATTGGGAACCGACTTTTCTACGCTGCGCTGCCACTATTGCTGTGGATATTTGGCCCTGTCCTCGTCTTCCTCTGCTTCGTAACGTTGGTCCCCGTGCTTTATAATTTGGACATTGTGTTTGCTTCTGATCAGGGCAAATCAGGTCCTGGTGGAGATCAATTTATGATTTAATTTTCGTCTTAATATATATATATGCACATATTGTTTGATTAAATATGGAATGTTAATTGCACTGCATCTTTTTCGTTCATTTCCCCTTAAAACAATAAACATGGTATATTGGAATGAAATTTGATAGAAATGGAATGAGTAAGAATGTAATGAATATGGGAATGGAATGGAATCAGCTTTTCCATTGATGTGTTTGGAATGCAGAATGAATTAGACATGAATGGAATGACAATACCATTCTATATTATCATTCATGACTATTTTATATAAAAAAAATTAATATTTATATTAGTGTTATTTTTTAATTTATGATAATAATAAAATTAATTTTTTTTAAAAAAATATATTCTATTTTATAAATATATTTTTGTATTTTTACAAACATATATATTATATAATAAATTAATGAAATGTGTATTCATATACAGATTAGCTAATACAGATATAGTATTACATAAACCCCTATAAGCATATGTAGTCAAATATATTTTTTATATTATAATTCAATTTATGAATAAATTAATAATATATATGATTTATAAAAATAAAATAATTATCTTTTTAAATTATTTATAAATGTATTTTTAGTTTTATTTTTATATAAGGTGGTTTGGGTATGTGCATAGGAGAGACTTAGAAACATTAAAATAAGAACGCAAATCAAAAGTGTGAGGGTAGACCTAAGAAAAGTTGGAAGAAAATAATAAAAAAATCATTTTACATATCTAAATTTGAATGTTGATGTGTGTTTTGATCGAGCACGATGGCGAGTTGGCGGCATGCGATCCATATAGCCGACCCCACTTAGTGAGATTTTAACGGTTTATTGTTGTTGTTGTTGTTGTTGTATAAGTACTTAATATATCTAATTAAAATATGAACAATAAATAAAAATAAGTTTTAAAATTTTTTATTTGAAATTTATTTTTTGGAATTATTTTATTTAATATAATTTAATCATAATTTATAGTATATTTTATAAACTTATTTATTATTATATTTGTCAATTTTATTTTTTGAGAAAATGATTCCTACACATATGGGAATGGGAAAAACCTTGCACTCGATATGGAATCCCATAGAGATGGGTTTTGCAATTCCCATTGGAATGGTAATTCGTTTAAAAAAAATACCAATTATGGGATAAAGAATGAGTAAGGGAACTAACATTCCATTCCCATGTTATTCCCTCATACCAATCATGCCATAAGGATAATACTTTTTTATTCACCAAAATAAAATTGGACCACAGTTGCATTTAACATTATAATTAAGCTCTTTCAATAAAGGAATTTTTCGAGAAAAAAAAAAAATCGATCTCCACAACTTAGAAAAAAAATGAGATATATTTAAAATTATAAATGAAAATATGGATTAAAGATTTTTTATAAATAAAAAATGATATAGAATTGATATTGTGAATTATTGAAATAAAATAAGATGATTTGGATTAGAAAAAAAAAGGTGGAAGAAGATTTTTTTTTTTAAGAAAAAAGTGAGCTAACTTTGAAGTTATGAATATAGGTTTATTTGCAAAACTAATCACAACCTCTACCTCAATTTATAAGTTAGTTTTAGCAATTTTTGGTGATGAATATAGGTTTATTTGCAAAACTAATCACAACCTCTACTTCAATTAATTGAAATTTCAACCCAAGTTTATGATTTTGGCATTTTAATGCATGACTATTTATATTTTTCAAATTGAAACATGAATTAATAAATGAAAAGCTACAACTTCCATAGTTAACGAACCAAATGGTATCAAGGAATCGTAAGACCATCACTACCGCAACTTGACTCCATATTCTGCACAATCTAAAAAATCGATCAAATTCAATCATTTTATCCGAAGTCATACATTTTTAATTGAGAGACAATTAAACTGTAATTTGGAAACTTTGGCTACCTATAGCATGCATCTACAATGGCGAATTGTGTTATGGCCTTTTATATATGGAACTGAGTGGACTGTCATATCCATGAATAACTCTCAATATCTATTTCTACATGTCTATCACACATTTTTTAACTTGCTCTCACAAAAGACAAGACTTTTGAATAAATCTTAAACAACCAACTTCTATTCACATATTTTAAACAATATAAATTGTATTCATACGCTGTGTTATTGAAAAAGCAGTACACCAGATCCAGATAGTATTATCTTATTTCCTTTTTTTTTTTCTTCTTGTTTGTCTTTGTTGTATTATGTGTTGATGCATAATTTGTCAAAATATATAACATCAAATTTATAATATAATTTTAGAAATGTATCATTGTTTTCTTTATATCAAATTAATGCTTCTTGATAAAATTCATACAAATAAATACTAACAAACTATAATTTAATCGACGTCTTAGATTATAAAGTGAACTTTTTTTTCAAACTTAGATAATATTTTAGTAAATACTAGATACATGTTTTAATAAATAAAACAATCTTTATATAAATATTGTTATATTTATTTAACTTTTATGTTTTGTATGATGATAATTTAAATATGTATAAAAGTGACTCATCGGTAATGAAAGTAGCTGGAACTTCACGTTCTGGAACTTCACGTTCTATGATGATCTCTCGGTCACCTTCCGGCTCATCGGAGGCAACTTCAATAACAGGCGGAGCTTCCGGTGGAGCGGACTCGACAATTGGTATTTCAGATGAACCAGCAGTAGCAGCAGCGATGGCAGCCATCGGACCCGCCGCTGCAATTGCCAATGGATCTGGTTGCGAAATCTCGGCCACAGTCGCTGACGTGGCGCCATCACCGACATCGGTCTTTGGAGGATTCATGATCGGATTTTCCAGATACGCCTTCACTAATTTCTTACGACCCATTCCTGATAAGCGTAATTCTTTGCTTTTACCGACTTTCGTTCGAAGATCCAAGTTCGGACTTTTTTGACGAAAAGCTTTGGCGTCGCGAATAGTCTTGAACCCGAGAACACCGAGAAGCGGATAATAAACTGCAAGTAAAGAACTGAGTTATGATCAATTTCAAAAGTAACCGACTTTGAACGAAATCGAAAAATTTATTCGAGTTTACCTGGTTGGAAAGAACCGTCTGAAATCTCAGGACAAAGACCAGCCGCTTTCAACCGGGTATCCTTCAAGATCAACTTGTAACTACGTTGTGCTTTCTTCAACTTGAATAGCTCGGTAATTCTCTCCTTTAAAATCACACTGAGTTTCGATCCTTTGCTTTTGGCTGCAAATAGTAAAACCGCTCACCTGTTAGTACAAAAATAAGCGGTCAGGACAACTCGGTAAAAGAAATGAAAGGAAAACTTACAAAATGCAGAATTAATATTGATGGGAATAGTCATCCCTTCAATTAAAGGTTTTGAAAAATTTGGGGTTTGCCAGTCTCCTCCAACCCATAACCACTCCTCTTGAAATCCATGGAGAGACTCAGGGATCTCGGTAATCAGTTCACCAATTTTTAGTCCTCCCTGGGGCCTTCCCGCACAAGCATAGCAAATCAAGGGATCAGCCACTTGTCTGTCAGCGCACCGTCTAAATGTGAAGAGACTCCTTATCTCTTCAAGGGTTGGCATATCCCAACCCTTTTCCTTTAAAAGAATCATGAGGCCAATGATCCTCTTCCAAGTATTCGGTGCTATCTGACATAAACCGAACCCCCAATCTCTCAAGTAGTCAGAAATCAATGCAGAGAGGGGAAACCGAAGTCCCGATCTTAGCGAGTCCGCAAACACGCCCACACAACCGGGAGGAGGACACGTTATTCTTTCACCTGGATAAGGGGCGAACAGCTTTACTGAGGAAGGAATGTAAACTTCTCCTCGGAGATTGACAATATCCGCGTCAGTCAGAATACTTGGTTCGCCTCTATACTCATCAATTGGTTTGGGCCACCGACGTGTGGGACGTCTCCAATAATCAGGAAGCGACATAGCATCATTTTCAACTCGTTTATCTTCTTCAACAATATCTCTATTGAGATTTAGTCGCTTCACCAGAAGAGGATCCCATCGGTAAAACTCGAGAGGCAATTCCAAGTCCTCATCGGTAAAGATTGGAATCTCTGACATCGTACGGCTGCTGCTATCTTCGGCTTGAGCAGACATTCTTTTCGAAATCGATAAAAGCAAAAGAGCAATCATTGATGTTTCCCACCGCTTAAAGTGAAGCAGCTCAACATTAAATACGTTCTTATCCATTTCAAACAAAAAGACAAAAACTACCGTACTATAAATAGCAGAGTTTATGATAGTACGAGGATTTTTTTTTTTTTTTTCAACACATTGTACATGGGCTTGAAATGATCTTGGTTACGAACAAAAAACCGACTCATGTACTCTTGTGAATATATCAAATAAAATCCAATGTTACATTAATCTTTGCTTAAATACACTCTGCTGTTTGTAGTTTTAAGTTGTTAATTTCGTACAACAACACCAGCTATTATAAAAATAGATTTTAAACAGAATACAAGTATTCAACCATTATGCTACAATTAAAAAAAACAAAAAAAATTTTGATTTGGTAAAGGTATGATTTTAAATTCACAATTATAGTTGTCTGCAAATTAGTTAGTATATATTCAATCTAAAAATATATATAAAAATTTTTTTTGCGCGAATTCTATATAGCATGTCTGCAGCCTAATGAAATAGTGTTAGATTAAATATTTCACCCATTAGCTTATGCTGGAAGCAAATTTGTTATCAAAATTCTACTTTATATAATATACTTTCAGTCTAAATATTAAAATATAATATCATGCAAGCTGCCTATTTAAAAAATCTATATAAATTAAAAGATAAAATATAAATTCATCTATACCATAATACATAACAAGTAAACACATGCATGATTAGCGTAATATTCATTAATTAATTTAGCATAAAAATAATTCCTAGAGACACAATACATAAACAATAAACACATGAATTATTTTAGCATAATATTCAGCAATAACAATTTTTTCATCAAATTAAATCAGAAAACATTAAAACTGAAAAAATCCTTGACATGTACACAATGCTAATGTCTATTAACAAAAAAATCCTTACAACAGACGACAAAGAAAATGAGATCCCGAAAACGTCGGTTAACAAAGTCACCAATGGTAATTTGAAGTATTTTATACAATAATTACTTTAAAATACATTTTTTTGTAAAATTTTTAAATACAATTTTTAATAAATTTATATTACTTTATGCATAGGCCACCATTAATCATTGTTTAATATTACTTTTATCTTTATACTAATAGGCCACTATTTTCTAATTTCATTGTTAAGTTTCATCATCAAACCTTTCCAGTTTCATATCACGGTTTCCTACGTTATGACAATCAAACAAGAGTCAATTACAACCTCTGTCACACGTTGGCTTAGTACTGAAGAACCATGTTTGCAGTCATAACAGTTGTACGTGGCTCTTTCTAGAGTCACGAATTGGAAGAGTTTATAAATAATGATATGTGGCGATGGGCACTCTAACGATAGAATAAGTACCATGAATGTAAAGAAGTTTTTTATAATATTTAAAATTCATTTCTTAATTCACATTTTTTCTTGAATTAAATGATGATTGGTAATTTTGTTTTTTTTTTTCTTATTTTCTTATTTTATTTTCTATGAATTTACCTCCGTGCAAATGCATGGGTTGATTGCTAGTTATATATGACAAATAAGCTAAATTTTTTTATTACATTTAATAATGTAATATGTAACGGTCACCTTCCATAAATAAATGAAAAAAAGAGTCGAAAACTACATTAAAATTGATAGTCTATAAATTGTATATATCATTTTATTTAATACTTATACCAGTGATATTATAGAGAGAAAAAAAGATAATATAAATAGAATTGTTTTATTTTATATTTATTTTTAATTAGATAAATCTTCAAATATACAATTAAAAAACTTAATCGCCACCAGTTTTCGGAAACTCGATAATTAATTAATTTGTCATTCAATCCTTTTAAGTAACATGTTTGCTTAGTCACTTTAGGTCAAACGTTGGTCCCATCTATATATGTCATCGCTTTATGATGGCATTTTAGTTTATTCTTTTTACAAACAAAGATTTAAGAATTATCAAATTAATCAAAGGTATCTTCTCCAGATTATGGCAAAGCAGTCACCTTGAGAGGTTAAGGATAATTGGGATGGAAAGATGACAAAGATGTTGGATTATTCATCAACACAAATGAATTTATATTTACACGCCACGTCACAAGGTTAGTGGTTTTAGGTGGAATGACCATAGATATATAAATATCTAAGATTTGATTTTATCCCGGAAAAAAATCCCGTAAATCTCGAATGATATCCTAAATATCTATGTCGTATTGATTTGTTATTTATTAATTGATATAAATATTTATATTCAAACAACCCCAAATTTCATAGTACGGTCAAACGAATGAACCACGCACCACATTTGCAGATGGTCCAATAACAAATTAGAACAATTCACTCCACAAAGCCACAAAATAAAAGACTTCAAATAAAAAGAGAAAAACATTAAACTACCATTTCTTATTTTGATTTATTTATGTTTATAATTTATTTAGGAGGAAGATGGTGAGACTCCCAAGTCCACATATCCTGCATGCAATTCACAGTCTCAGGCAAAGCTCCATTCGTTACATTGCCACTAAACGGCTGATCCGCAGTTTGATCGAGCCCAAGGCTCGAATCGCCTGTTATTCCGGAATACGGAGAGTTGTCATCCCCACGTGCAGACACCAATGGTGAGACAGGGCAGTTTATGTTGTTATTTCTCATGTAGTCTTGTCCAGGCGTGTTCAGATAATTCTGGATAAGGTGGCTAAGGCTCGAGGTCAACGACCCACGGGCAACCATATCCTCAGCCAGTTTGACCTGTATTATATTAACATAGCAACATAAAATGATGAAACATGGATAGGTGAACGTAACAGAATCACTAAAACGTGCATTCTACGTACAAACGGAAATTAAAAAATTGCATTTAGATGAATATTTGTGATGGTATATATATATATATGCACCTTGGCCCTAAGAGCCTCAACATCTGATTTAAGGACACGATGATTTGTTGTGGCGTCTTTCAATTGCTGAGAAGCATTCGCGAGTTGTTTGAACAAGGATGCGTTCTCCCGTTTCAATTGTTCAGCCTGTTTAATAAATACTCAAAAATTCACTCAAAACCATTTTGTACATAGATAAATAAATGATAACTGATAGAAAATTTCTTTGAACCTGCTGTTCAAGCTCGGTTAACTGCGCCTGTTTTCTTTGTCGAGAGCGCCGAGCAGACTTTCTGTTAGATTCCATCCTGAAATTCCACAATAAAAAAACAAAAAAAAAAATCAATTTTCCGCTTATTAACTATTTGGCATGAATTTAATTAAAATTGATGTTTACGCATACCTTCTGATGCGCTTAATATCGACATGTTTGTTAGTCATCATGGCTCGGTCATATGAGCCACCTTCTTCTATTTCCAAGTCATCTTCATCTGACTGTTCATGTGATGAGCCACTGCTAGCTCCCACAGCCGTTGGATTAATTCCTGATGTTGGACTATCCACTGCAAAAAATAAATAAATAAATAAAAAATTGAATTTCTTTGCAAAAGCAAAATAGTAAGAAAAAAATTATGAAGTGAACTTACCACATATTGATGATGGGGAATCCATTGTTGGCGATGCCTTTGACAGATTCGGATTGAAGTTTTGCGGCGGCATCATATCACTTGGAAAATCTTTCATAATATTCTGAAAGTAATTGGAAAAATATTCTCATGTTAGATGCATAAACTAGATTATTGTTAATTGTTATTAGCAATTCTTTTTTATTGGGTTGGAATTTTATGAGATGTTGAGAGGGCAAAAGGGGAAAAAGGTTCCGAACATCAAAGCTGATGTTGTTTGGGAAATTGGGAGGGAAAGAAAAAAGGTGGTCAATATTTAAGAGAACATCCTTTTCTTTGAGAGTGTTGTCTTTTTGTTAATGGGGGGAGAATATGACGTGGATTGTGGAACTTTTACGTTGGAGCTTATGTGGACTTGAGTTTTGAAAATTAGTTGCTTTCCAAGTGCCAAACCACAGCACCATCAATTGCACCGGAATATACTTTGATAAAGCTTCACCTCGCTTTTTATACCAATTTGACCATACGGAACAAATTATTTTATTAAAATAAAATGAGTGATAAACAGTAATTTCACATAATTCGTAGAAATTTTTTTTATAATAAGTACAGTTTGGTTCGTATATTTAATTTCATTTTTCCTTTTCTTTAGATTTTGAGTATAGGGTCTTGATTAACTATTGTGTTCACGTTTTGTCCCATTAACACTTCTCATGGCATTTNTATTTTATAAAAATACATAATTTGATACATAAACTTCGTAAGTATTTTACTTTTACTAAATGTGAATCTCCTCGTAATCTATTAAAAGATTTCACTCCTTTTATAAAGTTGGTTTGTGTTTTATTATTTTTTTAATAATAAATACTTCGTAGTAATTGTAGTTTTAGACTTTTAAACATTACAATTAGTACACATTACATATGAAATCAAACCAAATTATTTTACAAATAACTTGGGGCTTGAATAGGTCCTTCACTACTGTTGTTATTCTATTTACACGCGTGATGTTCAAAATCATCTCTAAGAATCAGACTTGATCCCTTAGCTTTTTTAGTGTTTATTTTGTGTTCTTGTATTTTGTTTTTGTTTCTATATATTCTTCATTATTAAATTGTTTGATTCTCCGCGTGGGACTTGGGTATGTCTTGTTTAATTTGTGTTTGTTTGTGTTCGGTTCCAGACTATCGTTGTGTAGATATTTTCTTAGATTCAACTATTTTAGTTGATTTATTCGCATATTTTTAGTTGTTTTCTAGTCTATTACTATGATTAGAATATAACCCTGCCGTTTCAAAGAAAAAAATAGAACCTGTCCTTCACTACCGATAGGACGATTGATAAAAATATTCAAATAGAGGGGGGAAATATGTACGAAAGANCAGAATCCCTAAAACCCTTAAAATTTTGGGAATGAGAAACCAATTATAAACCCAGGGGTGCAGCTGGGAGTGCTCCCTGGCCCAATCTTCTAGGTAACTATTAGAGAAGATGAAAAATAAAAATAGAAGTTATTTATATTGGACTAATAAAAATATTAAAGTGAATTAAGGGTAATAAATTTGGGCTAAACTTGTGTTAACATGATTAGGGCTAAAGAAAAATAATTAGGGTTTGGACCAATTAGTCTATCCCTAAAACTTGAGACCCTATATATAAAAATCCATCAACTGTTAATTAGCTGAAATTTTGTGTGGATCAATTGCCATGCACCATATACACGAATACGAGGCAATTGACTCAAGCGGAATTTCATTTTGTGGCTTCGTAGTTAAATACAAGTAATTACTAATTAGTATATACATCTTGATGTTTTAACTTAATCAAATGGAGCTCATATTTATATTTTATACATAATATATATATGTAGATAAAATGAAACACGTAGAAACTGAAATATAAATAAAAGCCAACTTAAATCCAGTTACATATGTAACACGATGGCATGCAAGTCATACGATAATCTGAACAGGCGTAGCTGTTTCAAATTGCTAAAACCGCTAGAAATATTATAACATACAAATATTGTAACATAAAGTAAAGGCCATTAATTATATTCCACATAACTAAATTGGAATGATTAATAATTAATAAAATGATGTGTAACTAACCGAATTTTTTAGAGGAAAATGCAGATGATTGGCAAAAGGGTTATGGTGATGATGATCGGATGGCCCTCCAAAGACGTGATCAGGGATTAATTTCTTGTTGTCGTCATCTACAGAGGCAAGAACCTCCTCAAGTGCTAATTCTGAAGGGCTCCTTTTCATACCATTAATGCACCCATAGATTGAGTTGTTTTTGTTTATTGATTTCTTGTTTTCCATTTTGTTTCTTTTCCTTCTTTTTTTGTTTGGAAGTAATGTGTATTCTTCCTTTGCTTGCTTAGCTGCGAAGGAAATCAGCTGAAGTTTGTGTGTGTGTGTGTGTGTGTTGGATAGAGAGAGGGAGAAAGGGAAGAATAAGTGAAGAGGGATTGGTGATTATATAATAAACTTGGATGAGAATATGGAATTAAAGGGGCGGGCAAGTTGGCTGTGAGGTTAAAGAAAAAAGGTATTCGTACAATGTTTTTGCTTAGTGCCGACGGAACGTCTTACTGGACATAATTTAAATACGTTAAATTCAATTTCGGGGTGCCACAATAGTATATAATATAATTGATTTATGAAATTTGCTTAAAAGTAAGTTTCATAAATGTGCGGAGTTGCTCGGGTTTTCTTGGGTGCTCGACTACGTAAAGGTCTTCTATTGAATTACCTAACACCTCTAGAGGGATGAAGAATCTAGATATATCTATGTGTGTTATGTCTTGTAAGACTAGAGAAGGCGTGCATTTATAGACTCCAATAGGAACCCTGAGGGTATATTTTCCTATTAAGACTAGATTATAGGTCAAACCTACCAAGCCTAATATGAATAATACACTAATTTCACTAAAATAGTATTATTGAACAACTTCCAATTCAATTCCCAATTTGCAATTTGATCCCATGTTTAAGAACTAATGCCCGTCAATTTATTTAATTACTGATAATTAAATTAATCGACTTCTATAACCGAAGCTAGCACTGTTCAATCATTATCATTTTGTCAGAATTTAATCCACATGCAGGGTTTAACATAATAATCCTTCTGAACTCACTTCGGAAACATCATCAAACCTAAATGTTGTGAAGTACATGGTGACCATAAATATTATAACAAAACACCATGTCATGTAGGAATAACTACAACCCAGACAACTATTGGTCCATATCAATAAACTTTTTGAGTGATCAAAGCAGTAATTATGATAAGTCAAAAATATGTGTCGATTTAGTGAATTAATTTAGGATTTATATTACATATTTGAGTTCAGTTGACATATGTTTGACATTATCTTGTATTTTCGAGTGGAAACTACCGATTTTTGATTTTTTGTGCAGATTGACGACTTTTGTGCACAGTGAACAATAGCTTTAAAGTACCAGCCGCTGGAACTAACATGGCAGTGTCAGTTTTACATTGAATTGCAACATGTCAATGTTGGTGTTATTCAGAAAAGATTATTCATTGGGCCAGGAAACTAACGGATTTGGCCCATGAGAACTTAAAGCAGCATGAAACAAACCTAGGACGTATATAATCCTTTTTATGGGTTAATTGAGGAGCAAGGAGGGCGGCTGGGAGAAAAGAACGCAGAACAGAGCACAACATCAACGACTCTCTCTTCTCTCATCTTTATTATTTTTTTTTCTTTTCTTTTGGATTATTTTATGATAGCCCTGCGCGGCTAATTTATCTTTGTCTTGGTTGAAGACGATCGAAACCCAGACCTACTACTGTGAGATCTAATTAGTTTTTATTCTAATTCATATATTTTCCGCATCAATGTTTCGTGTGCATATTTTTATGATTGTTATGTGTAGTTGATGGATTGGCCACCTATTATTCTATGCTTATGATCTATTGCTTGATTGATACTTGAGTCGGATTTAGATCATGTGACTTTCACTAGAAGCAACTAAGATAGATGATTGACCGAATTTAGGCGTTGTCGTTCTTAGGCGAAATAATTGAACAAGTTAATATTTAATGGATCAGTTATTTATTGCTTGGACTGTCGGTCTCTTGTATTTAATGCTATTGCTAGAATAATTCTTCACGATGTTGGGAATAAACTAGTTATAAGAGTCTCGTAGAAGGATTTATTTTGCATGACTAAACCAGGAGATAGAATTTATATTCAACGGCAGTTGCGTGGATTGTGAGTTTATATTTTTGTATCAATGATCAGTGGAACAGTCTAGGGTGAAAATCAATTCAACCAAGGCATATTCATATTATATTTATTTTTGTTTATTTAGTTTTTTTTTATTTATTTGTTAGTTTGATAAGTAATTTCTAGTTTAATTAGATCACTAATTCAAAAACCCTTTCTTTGATCACATAGTTAATAGATTTAGTTTACTTCTCCCCGTGGATACGATCCTTGCTCACGCTACTACATATTTTTAAGCAAGGTTAATTTGGATGCCTACGACAGCACGACCAAATTTTGGCGCCGTTGCCGGGGAGAATTTAAATTGAATCTTTGACTTTGTGATTGTGTATTATTATTAGTATTATTTCTTGTTTCTCTTTTATTTGTTTTTCCATTTTCATTTTTCAGGAATTGTTGCATCAATAACAACTTGTGAGAGCGAGCAGGTTCCAAGAATTTTAGGTGATTCGATTTGGTCCAAGGACATACGGTGAAGTCAGTATGGAAGAGATTTTGGATGAACTAACTGCATATATTCATCAATGGGCTGCTGACAACATGAGGTCGGTGAAACCTTGTAAAATATGTGCAACCACATCCCATGACATTGACTCTTGTCCCATGTTGGATCAAGATGGAAGGATTGCAAGAGGTGTTAATTCAATTGGTAGTTGTGTGAACTTTGATACATACCAACCATACGATCCTTTCTCCAGCATATAAAATTTTGGTTGGGCCAATCAGTCAAATCGTTTTGACACAGGCATGCACTTTGATTTTGAGAACCATGATAGGGAATTTCAAGAGGGATCTAACTTTTATACGGGAGAACCACTGTCTATGCAACACCCAAATGTAGATTCTGGTATGGCGCTTGAAGAAATTATTGAGCAATTGGCTTCTAGTACCCTCGAATTTCAACAGGAAACCGTGTTGAGCATAAAAAAAATGGAGAATCAAATAAATCAGTTGGCCAAGAGTGTGAAACGTTTGGAGACCCAAGCTGATGAAGAACTACATTTCATAACAGAGATAGACCAAAGTGACATGAGCGATATGATCATGCATAGTGGTGAAGGGGTTTTGCTTGATGAAGAGAAGACAATAGAGGAAAAGTCACCACGAGAGCTTCCTGAAGCAGCAGTAGAAGAAAAGCAATACTCTGATGGCCAACATGGTCATGTCACTGACCATGTTCTCTATGAGACTGTTGGTATGAGTTTATTTCAAGTAGCAGAAGAAAAAGAACACTCTGATGGCCAGCATGGCCATATTGTTGACCATGTTCTCGGAGATGCAGAATTGGGCATAGATTCAGAGGCTAAAGCAGGGGGCGATTTCATGCCTGCTACAGAAAAAGAAAAAATGATGTCTGAACTTCAGCATGGCCATGTTGCTGAGCATGTTCATTGTGATGTTGCTGATATGAACGCAGAATATGAGGCTGACAAGAACGAGAAGGAAAAGGATGTCTCATGTTATCCCAAGTATAAGCTTGTACCTTCTTATCTCTTGGCTTCTTTTCCCTATGTGAATGATGGGTACACCAGATACATATATGGAACATTTCGAAGATACGAGGATGTTTTCTGGCCTACAAAAGAAGGTGGACTCATGGCATGTTTGGGAGAATTAAGGCCCATGCTCGACCACATCAGATGCATCTTTTATGGAGAACGTGGGAAGTTAAGGTTCAACGGTAGGCCTCTAAAAATGCAGTCTGGTGTTGCTAGGAAGAATGAAGTATATGGACTTTATCGGTTTCTTGGACGAATAAGAGCACTCATAGCATCTCTGAGACCCATCCCAAAACCTCCTTGGCGAATAAATTTGTGAGTCTCTCTACCTAGCATATATATACATACTCTTCATGCTTTTGCATTCATTATGATATATTTTAAGGACTTAAGCTTGGGGATGTATGTGTGTTATGCTTCGTACCGATTATATAGTATAGTTGCATTAGTATTCAGGTAGGTTGCATTTAGGATTTATTGTAAATGTTTAGTTTGGTTCTAGTAGAAGTAGAGCAGTCACTGCATGAGTGCGTGACATAGTATTGAGTCATATTTGTTATTTCTCTTGTGGTTATTCTTGATTCTACTGGTGCCAGTTTGTCAAACGTGATTTCTTATGTGTGCAAAAATAATTTTGAAGTCCTTGTTAATGCACGGTGAATAATTTTTCTTGATGATCACTTGATGGACGAATGCATGAGATTAACACTTATTACCCTCTTATTAGTGAGATTTGAGCCTATGAGCATATATTGAATATCATGCTCCATTTTCTTGAGTGTGTGATGTCTCGACTAGTTGGCTTTTCTAGAACTTGCTTTGCTATACATGTCTATGTTTACACCTTTGATGAAAGTGGATGCATGAAATCAAAATAAGGGTACTTAGGACTAGTCTTTTCTCTTTATTGCCTCTCTTTTGAAATCTACCCTTTTCCATAAACCACTAGTAAGCCCATTTGAGCCATAACCTTTTTTTTTTTGTTTATTTATAACCATACTACAAGCCGTAATATCTTTTTTTTATACCATCTTTTGAACCTTGAATCGAAGCATTTTTATGAATTTATTTTAGTTGAATAATAGCTTCTGGTCTTATGTTCTTATATTTTATCGTGCGTTGTATGTAGTTTCTCTATCCAACATCTACTAGTTCATCTTCTCTTCTCCCAAAAAAAAAAGGAAGAAAAAAAAAGAAAAAGAAAAAAATCTGAATAAAAAAAAAATTGAAAAAAAAAGAAGAACAAAAAAGGAAAGAAAAAAAGCTGAAAGAGCATTGTGTTAGATTACTTTTTATGTTGGATGCATATCGTGATCGCATGATTAGCTTGCTTTATTACAACCCGATTTCAACCTTTGATCTTGTGTTTATTCATTTTCATTTTGGGTGGTTGGATGTGATATCTTTGCAAGCTTATGGTAAAAATCTTCGATGTCTTGACCTGAGTGTAAGCTTAATATCTAGCCTATACACCTTTGAGTGCAAGAGTGAATCTCGCGAGAAGTGTTGATTTCATGTGTTTTAAGTTATGTGATTGTTGAGTTTATTTTTATTGGTGTCGGTTGATGAGGACTTGGCCTTAACCTTTGTTCGTTGCATGCAAAATATTTTTGAGTTGACATTAGAAGATAGATGATGACTATGAGGTGAGATGATGGATTTGATTTGAT